CGAATGGAGTGCTTTCTATATGCCAGACAATGCATGATGCTGTGGGGGAATAGAGCTGTGCCCTGATGCCATTTACATTCAGAGAAAAGGCTTCAGCCAGGCAGTTACACAGTAAGATGAGTGTCCAGAGGGGGTAATCTAAGGTATTAGGGGAACCTAGAGGAGTGAGTCCTAAGGCAGAGTCAGATGTTTGTATGGAGGAGTGGAGGAGGGTGACCAGTGAAGTCCTTACAGAAGAAATAGAAACAAAAAAAAGGTAATTATGTGAGATGATGGATGTGTTAATTAGCTTGATCATGGTCACCATTTAACAATGTATACACGTATCAAATTATTGCATTGTACATCTTAAATCTATACAATTTTTCTTTGTCGGTTATACTTCAATAAAACTGGGCAGGGATGAATAAAAACAACTATCGCAGCCAAAAGAAAAAAAAAAGAAGTAGAAGGAATAGCGTCTAAGTTGAGATGAAAGAATGAATGTGAAACGATTTAGTGAAAAGGGATAGTTTCACGTAAAGCTATCAGCATGGACAATGGCCTGGAAAAAGCCTGGCAAATTCAAGGGACTGAAAGGATGTGGATCAAGATTCTATGAGGAGAGGAGGGTAGAGGGACTGCAATTGGGCTGAGGCTAATGACATTGGAAGTGGCGAGGTGGTGAAAAGCCAAGGGCACTGGGAGCAGGTTAAAGGATTTAAGGAAATATCCAAAAGGTGGAAGCAACCCAAATGTGCATTAACAGATGGATGGGTAAACAAAATGTACTATGTACACATAATGGAATATTATTCAGCCTTATAAAATGAATGCAGTCATGACACACGATACAAGGTGGGTGAACTGTGAGGACATTAAGCCAGTCACAGATGGACAAATACGACAGGATTTCACTTCAGTGAGGTATCCAGAGCAATCAACTTATTAAAACAGAGAGTAGAATGGTGGTTGCCAGGGACTGGCAGGGACTGGCAGGGACTGGAGGGAGGGAAAGTGGAGAGCTGTTGTTGAATGGGTACAGAGTTTCAGTTTTGCAAGATGGTTGCACAGCAATGTGCATATACTTAACACTACTGAACTGTGCACTCGAAAGTGGTTGAGAGAGTACATTTTATGTCATGTATGTTTTATCACAATTATTTAAAAGTCAGATTAAAATGAGTGACCATCATTTTTCCTTCTTTATCCAGGAACGAACTGGCTGATTGAAATTCTCTGCCTGATTTCCTCCAAGGGGGATCCCACATGGATCCAATCTGTGCCCATTTGGGAACGCTCACCCTGGGTAGAGACTGAACCCGGGTATAATTCACTGAAGGATAAGGAAGGCCCTCGCCTCATCAGCTCCCACCTCCCCATCCAACTCATCCCCAAGTCTCTCTTCAGTTCCAAAGCCAAGGTCAGTGCTCAATGGTCAAGATGTTTGGTCAATGCTTTCCACCCTCTAATGTGCCCGGGAGTCCCCTAGAGATCTGGGTGAAATGCAGCCTCATCCAGGAGGTGTGGGGTGGGCCTGAGACTCTGCATTGGCGATGACACAGTCCATACTTGAGCACAAGGTGTAAACCCCTCCACAGGTGATACCAGCCAGATGTAAACAGGAGGGAAAGTGACATGATAACACCAGAATCTTTAAAAACCACGTTTTAAACCCAACCAGCATTTATAACTGTGTTATATACTAAATAACCCCACTCTGTGGCTCTAAAAACCAACTAGCCAATCTTAATTAAGTAAGTGCCTTCTGCACTTACTGGATAGAAACAATACACATAGAGTTGCCCACATGGGAAGCAACCCATTCATAAATCAGTGCATAAGCCAGGGATATTGCTCTGGCATCATGGCTGGTTTTTCTAACCACTATGTCTTCCTCTATATAGCTTTCTATTGAGCTCAGCAGCCACACAAATCTCTCATGGGGCTGACAGATTATCCCCAAGAGAGACCATGGATATCTAGGACCTACTGTATCTCAGATCGATTTTAGAAATATACTTTCCTGGAAGGTGCTCATTGGTTTGTGATTTTTAAAAATATTTTATGCTTAAATTAGACTGTGAAGCTTAGAATAATATTCCCCTTTCTTGGAAATTTCACAATATGTTGAAGCGCAATGAAGTTTTTTTTTTAACCCATCACTTCCCAAACTTATTGTTAATACACTTATTTCATGTGTCTTGTTGGTGTTTGTTAAATCCCAGCATGGGGAAACTGAGGCCTAGAGAGAGTTGGGGCCTAGAATAATGTCACAAAGAAAGTTGGTGCAGAATCCAGAGTATAAGTCACATGTTGAATGCCAAGCGTTCTTGCATGTGTGTGTCTGTATGTGCCCACTAATCTTAAGTGTTGGCTTGTTGAATCTTTATGTATGTACACAACTGGGTTAACTCCTAGCAGGACATTTGGTCCTGTTGAAAACATCCATAAAACATTTGGTCAACACCAAAAGGTCCTTGATTTTTTATTCTCTTCAAAACATACATTAGAGGGCCAGCCCCGTGGCTTAGCGGTTAGGTGAACGCACTCCGCTGCTGGCGGCCCTGGTTCGTATCCCGGGCTCGAACCGACGCACTGCTTTTCCGGCCCTGCAGAGGCCACATCCCACATACAGCAACTAGAAGGATGTTCAGCTATGACATACAACTATCTACTGGACCTTTGGGGGAAAAAAATAAATAAATAAAATTTTTAAAAAAAAACATACATTAGACATTTTGTCCATAAGACACTTGGTCCATGCCAACAGGTGCTTGACATTTAGTTCTGTCCAAAACATCCATGAGCATACTTGGTCTATGCCAAACGGTTTTCGACAGGACCAAATATCAAGAACCTTTTGGTGTGGGGACCCAATGTCTCCATGGACGTTTTGAACAAGATCAGATATTATCAAATATCAAGGACCTTTGTTGTGGACCCAATGTCTTATGGACCAAATGTCCTATGGACGTTGTGGATGGAATCAAACATCAAGGACCTTTGGCATGGACCAAAGGCCTTATGGATCTTTTGCGAGGACCAAATGTCTGCTAATCAGGTAACTACCTTCCAGATCCAGATTTAGAACATTTTCTCTCCCCCAGAAAATTCCCTCATGTGACTCCCCAGTCAATGCCCACCGGCAGAGGTGGCTACTACCCTGATTTCAAGCTCTATAGATTAGTTTTCCTTGTTCTTGAACTCCATATACATAGACATACACCATAAGAACATCTGCTCTGTATCTATGAATATAGGACAGTTTATTAACCCATCTCCTAGTAGTACACAAATATAAATATAATAGCACTCACCTTTTAAAACTTTTGGTTGCTTCCCATTCTAAGTAGACTCTGATCTCCCAGAGGGAAGTGACAATGCTTTCCTCTTCCACTGCTATATTCTTAGTACTACCCCAGGGACTGGTTCATAGGAACTTAAAAATGTATATTTGGTTAATGAATGCAATAACTAATTTATAAAAGAATGCATTGATACTTAGGCATTTTCTAAGAATTAGCCTTTTGTCCATTTTTATGAAGATCAAGAAGGATGGGAAATGACTGTATTAATTTTTTGTTATTCCACTTTTCTCTTTAAGGTGATTTACCTCATCAGAAATCCCAGAGATATTCTTGTGTCTGGTTACTTTTCCTGGAGTACTTCAAGTTTTGCTAAGAAACCAGTCACTGGAAGACTATTTTGAATGGTTCATCCAAGGAAATGGTGAGTGAACATAAAATATGGAAGCTGGGGGATTGTCAGAGGCCTTTATCAGACCTCATCTTATACCCAACCTGAGATCTCTACATCTCACCATCTGAGGGGTATAAGGCTCCATCACCATTGGAATGAAATTTTCGAAGTCCACATTCTCCCCTGCAGAGCAGCAGAGCCCCAGCCAGCTTTTCAGCTTGCCCCATCATAAACCATCCTAGCTATAGTCTGAGTCTCCAGGCCTGTCTGATACTAACACAGAGCACTTGTTCTTCTCTACTGTCCTAATTTGTGACTTTCTGAAAGTCAGCTTTTCATTAGATTCCTGGACAACACAGTCCTGTAGTCAAAAATGTATGGATTATCCTAGGATCTCTATACTTTTAATTACGCAGGATTTCTAGGCTTTCTCGGATATGAGAAATTTTGCAGTTTTTCTCAAAACTATATGATGAGTCCCATATCTCAGCTGTGATATATCTCCTTAACTTCAGCCATGTTTCTCTAACAGCCCATGAACATATTCACTGGACAGAGCCATAGATACTTCTGCTTCACTATGTTCAAAACTGAACACATTTCCCCCCATATCCCAAACTGTTCCCACGGCAGGTTGATCTTATGCAATAAATAAAACCACCCCTCACCCAAGATTAGCGTGATTCTGACATCTCACAAGTGTCATCTGTTTCCCACTCCCTCATGACCCTCACCACTTTGTTTTCTATTTAATCTCCAATTCCCACGACCATGATTAATATCTTCCTTCTGGTCTCTGCTGAAATGTCTCTGATTTGGGGAAGTCTTCCTTTTCAATGCTACATGCAAGATCATCCTTTCCCATCTCTATAGACTTCTCTCTACTTGTTCTTAGTACTCATTGCCAATGAATATTTATTCCATTTATTTTTTTGTTGCATGTGTCTCCCAACTAAAATGTAAGCTCTTTGAGTTGTTCATGTTTGACCCCACGTTGTAGAGTGGTGCTTGCCACGTAGTAAGTAGCTAATACACCTTGGTTAAATAATGAATATTTATTTGCCAGCCGTCCATTTGTGCTTCATTAACCAGAGCCACTGTTATTTCTCACCTAGATTCGTATAACAGACTCAATATTGGTGTCCTCACCTCATGTTCTTTGTGCCTTCTAGGCTATGTTGCAATTATCTGTTAGATATTGAACAGGTCACATTTCCTGAATTGTTTGCCCTCATCAAAGAGTCCAATCTTTAAAGCCTGGCACGTGTATTTCTTATTTAGCTGATCCTGGGTGAACTCTTCAGTCCTATCTCCTGCTTTCCTTCAGGTTACTCTTTTAGAAAAAGCCAACACTGAAACCCTATGGTGGAAGCCCAGACACGAAGAGAATACCCGCCCCTCATCAATGCTATATTTGATCTTGCCATTTGGTGTATGCAGGAGTCTGAATTGTGCTTCAGCTGTCAGGAATCCAGGAAAGTCCAATCAGTAGTCATGGGTGATGAAGACATATCCTGTAAACCTCACTACTATCTCAATTTCTTGCTTTCTGTCCTTTAAAACTTACACACAGGCCTCTTTCTTGTCCAGTCAAGAACAACCAACACCAAAATCTTTACTGTTGTCAACTAATACCAACATCCTGAGTTGTCTTCAGCCCTGTAGATGGTTGATCTGAACACTTTCCCCCATACCAGTGAAGAAATATTGGGAATTGAAGTCCCAGGAAATATGGTCCTTAGACCCAGGCAATAGGAGTCCCTGCTCTGGACCCTGCATCTTAGTGCAGAACTCTGGATCAAACATGAAAACAAAGCCTTAGGGGGTCCCCTGCTCTGGACACATCTCCTCCCCAGCCAGGTAAGGCATCTACAGGACTCCTGGAGCTTGCAACCCTTTCATCACCCATGCTCCAGGAACCTTGAACCCTGGAATTTCCTACGCAAAAGACCCCAAGCATGCTTTCATGGCCTGTGTGGTCCTCTATTCTGAGTCCCACCTCCCAAGGAGACCATACCAGCACCATGAGCACTGCTAGCTTAGGTTTGGCCAAGGGGAGAATCAAAATGAATGAACCATAATTGCTGTTTGCAAGCATCACTAAAGACATATTAGTTTTTTGGTCAGTTTTTCTCCCAAAACTTTGTATCTCCAAAGTTAGAAAGTAAACGAACTGTTTCAAGTTTCAGGCTATTGAGAATACTGCTTCTCTGGCGCACGTGTGCACCACTTTCTTTGTGGTTTATATGCCTGAGTGTAGAACTACTAAAGCATAGAGAATATAAGTTTTCAATTTTAAAAGATAATATCAAACTATTTTCCAGTGTGGTGGTATCAATTTATATTCCCACAAATAGCATATGAGAGTTCTTGTTACTCCATATCCTCAGTAACACTTGTTATTGTCAGTATTTTTATGATTGTCATTTTAGTATTTTTATAGAATAATTAAGGGATAATTGGCTTATTTTACTTTGTTTATCTCTTCATTTATAGACATTGTTTATCCCTCCTTTTATCAAAGCTCTTTTAATGTCTTACATGATGTTTTATATTATTTTTCTATAAAAAGCTTGCAATTCTCTTTTAGATGTATTTTGTTTCTTGTAGATTAATGACATCTTAAAATTACATTTTCCAGTTGTTTGTGCCTGATTTGGGAATGTAACTTATTTTGTATGTTGATCGGGTGTTCACCAATCTAATGAACTCTCTTCTTAATTCTCATTGTTGCCTTGTAGGTTCTCCTTGATTTTCCATGAAGTATAAATGTAACCTTTGAGTAATAACTATTATCTTCATTTCTAATCCACACATGTTGTCTTTATTTTTTCCTCTCTTATCTCATTGACCAGGCCTCTGGGACAATGTTGAATAAAAGTGATGGTAGTGATAATACCTGCCTTGTTCTTAATTTTAAAGTTAATTTTTAAAAAGTGTTATTTTTGAACTTTATTGAGAAATATAATTGTATACCTTTAAATGTGATTTTTTGGTATACATTTACATTATGGAATGTGTACCAAGATCAAGATAAATAACACATCCATAACCTCACATAGTTAAATCTTTGTGTTTGTGTGTGGGACTCATTAAATCTACTCTCAGCAACTTACAAGTACATAATACCAAATTATTAACTATAGTTACCATGCTATATGTGAGATCCTCAGAATTTCTTCTTATAACTGAAAATTGGTACCCTTGCACTTACATCTCCCCATTTCCTTCTCCCCATATCCCCTGGCAACCACCATTTTGTTCTCTGTTTCTATGAAATCAGCTTTATTTGTATTATGCATCTAAGTGATACCACACAGTATTTTTCTTTCTCTATCTGACTTATTTCACTTAGTATCATGCTCCCCAGGTTCATCCATGTTGTCTTAAATACCAGGATTCCCTTTATTTTTATGTCTGAATAATATTCCTCTGTATATATAAAGAGAGGGAGGGAATGCATATATATATTTATATATGTATGTGTAAAATTTTCATTATCCATTCATCCATCGAAGGAAATTTAGGTTGTTTCCATGTGTTAATTACTGGAGACAATGCTGAAATAATGCTGAAATGAACATGGATGTGCAGATATCTCTTCAGCATGCTGATTTCAGTCCCTTGAGATACACCCAGGAGTGGGATTCCTGGATCATATGGTAGTTCTATTTTCAAATTTTTGAAGAGCCGCCATGCTATTTTCCTAATGGCTGTACCAACTTACATTCACCACCACTGTATAAAGGATTTTCTTTTCTCCACATCCTTGCCAACGTTTGTTATCTCTTTCTTTTTGATAATAGCCATCCTAACAAGTGTGATGTGATATCTCATTGTGGGTTTGATTTGCCTTTCCTTGATGAATAGTGATGTTGAGCAGGTTTTCATATACATACTGGACATTTGTTTGCCTTCTTTAAGATTTATTTATTTTTATTTTTCCCCCAAAGCCCCAGTAGATAGTTGTATGTCATAGTTGCACAGCCTTCTAGTTGCCGTATGTGGGACACGGCCTCAGCGTGGCCGGAGAAGTGGTGCGTCGGTGTGCGCCCGGGATACGAACCCGGGCCGCCAGCATCAGAGAGCACACACTTCACCACTAAGCCACAGGGCCGGCCCTGTTTGCCTTCTTTGGATAAATATCTAGTCAGGTCCTTTGCCCAGTTATTAATTGAACTATTTGCTTTTTTGCTATTGAGTTGTATGAGTTTTTTATATTTTGGATATTGACTTCTTCTCAGATATATGGTTTGCAACTATTTTTTCTCATTCTGTATGTTGCCTTTTCAAATTACTGATTGTTTCCATTGCTGTGCAGAAGCTTTTTAGTTTTATGTAGTCCCACTTGTTATTTTAGCTTTTGTTGCCTGTGTCTTTGGTGTCTTATGCAAGAAATCACTGCCAAACCAATGTCAAGGATATTTTCCTTATGTTTTCCTCTAGGAGTTTTATGGTTTCAGGTCTTACGTTTAAGTCTTCGATCCTTTTCAAGTTAATTTTTTGAGTGGTATAAGATAGGGGTCCAGTTTCTTTCTTTTTCATGTGGATATCCAGTTTTCTGAAAACCGTTTATTGAAGGAACTATTCTTTCCCATTTGTGTTCTTAGTGCCCTGGTCAAAAATTAGTTGACTTTATATGTGTGGGTTTACGTCTGGACACTCTATTCTGTTCTACCTATGTGCCTGTTTTTGTGCCAGTACCATGCTGTTTTGATTACTATAGTTTTGTAATAGTGCTTGAAATCAAGAAGTGTGATGCGTCCAGCTTCATTCTTCTTTCTCAGGATTGCTTTGTCTATTTGGGGTCTTTGGTGGTTTCATACAAATTTTAAGAATTTTTTTCTACTTCTGAAAAGATGCCATTGGAATTTTGATAAGAATTGCATTGAATCTGTAGATTACCTTGGATATTATGGACATTTTCACAATATTAATAGTTCCAACCCAAAAGCACAGAATATCTTTCCTTTAATTTGTGTCTTCTCAATATCTTTCTTCATTGTCTTATAGTTTTTAGTCTGTAAGTCTTTCACCTCCTTGGTTACATTTATCCTTAAGTATTTTATTCCTTTTGATGTTACTGAAGAGAGGATTGCTTCCTTAATTTCTCTTTCAAGTGCTTCATTGATAGTGTATAGAAACACAATGGTTTTCTGTATGTTGATTTTGTATCCTGGAACTCTATTAAATTTGATTATTAGTTCTGCCAGGTTTTGGGGAGAGTCTTTAGGATTTTCTTACATATAAGATCATGTCATCTGAAAATAAAGTTAATTTTACTTCTTCCATTCTGATTTGGATTTTTCTTTTGCCTAATTGCTGTGACTAGGAGTTCTAGAACTATATTGAATGGAAATGGTGAGAGTGGACATCCTTGTCTTTTTCCTGATCTTAGAGGAAAGGCTTTTAAGTTTTCACCATTGAGTATAGTATTAGTTGTGGGTTTCTCCTATGTGACCTTTATTATGATGAGGAACATTCCTTTTATACCTGACTTGTTGAGAGTTTTATCATGTGAATGTTGAATTTTGTCAAATGCCTTTTCTGCATCTACTGAAATTCTTATACGAGTTTTATCCTTCATTTTGTCACTGTGGTGTGTCACCTTAATGATTTGCATATATTGAAACGTCCTTGTATCCCGTGGTGTATGATCATTTTAATGTGCTCTTAAATTCAGCTTTCTAATATTTTGTTGAGGATTTTTGTATCTATATTCGTCAGGAATATTGGCCTGTAGTTTTCTTTTCTTATAGTGTCGTTATATGGCTTTGGTATGAGGGTAATGCTGGACTCATAAAATGAGTTTGGGAGTGTTCCCTCCTCTTCAATTTTTTTGAAGTTTGAGGGAATTGGTTTTAATTCTTCCTTAAATATTTGCTAGAAGTTACCATGAAACCATCTGGTCCTGGGATTTTCTTTGCTGGGAGATTTTTTGTGCGTGTGTGAGGAAGATCAGCCCTGAGCTAACATCCATGCTAATCCTCCTCTTTG